TCTGAAATTTAAGTCTTTCATGTTTTTAACCGCACAGCGGGAGACTTTTGATGAAACTTCCCTAGCTTACCTAATTAGAAAGGATATGCTGGTGGTCTTTTCCTTGACTTAATTCTCTCCTTCTTCTCCCTTGCATAGCAGGATAGTGATTAAGAGTACATTAATTGTAACATTTAAAAAAAAAAAAATTAAGATATTTTGACATTTTAAATATTAAATTTTTTAATAAAATTATTTAAATGTATTTAATAAAATTTTTTTACATATGATTTATTAAAGATATTTTATTTTATTATTATTTATGTCATTTTAAATATCAAAATATCTTAATTTTTTTAACCTCTTTCTAAAAAACACTTTTTAGTATTTACAATGTCTAAATGCCTAATATGAGCCCAACCATCATTTTAGAAGTTAAAATCTTATCTTAATAAACTCAAGTACCCAACCCAATTAAATTTTATGGCCCAAAAAAAAAAAACCAATTAAATTTTGTTAAGCGAAAACTACTAGTCCCAAGTTCCATCAGCACAGCCCAAGCTTTGGAACTCAATCTTCACCAACGTCTGTAACCGGATTCCCTTGTGTGGCAAGGAGTGACTCCATATTCGGCCTTGCAAATATCTTTGAGTGTTGAAGAGTCATAACTCCTATTCCAATTCCAATTACATATGAAAGTTAATGAAGTTCTTACTCTCTATATACATACACATATATATTTCATGAATCAGCACCTAATCTCGTAAAATTTCCTCTGCATGCATTCCGTAAACCACATCACCATTATTTCACCATGGCTGACCAAAATCAAAAGCCTAAGCTGGTAGAGAAGCAATCCGTCATGCCAGAGACAGAACGAGTCGTAATTCGAAGATTGGCAGGCAAGAACACAGGCATTGAAGAACCAAACGCCCTCGACCAGGTTGATTCGGACGCAACCAATGATGCAAACAGCAGCAGCAGTCTAGACTGCAAAGTCGTTCGACATTCCAGCAATGATGGTGGGCAAGAAGACATGTATCTAATGAAATTGGAGGCAACAAGGAGGAAACTGAAAGAAAGATATGTAGAAATTCAAGAGGCTGGGAGGAAGAAGAAGATCAGAATCAATGATTTCAAAGATATATCCGAGCGAGTCCCTCCTCCTGTTGAGCCAACCCAGCGAAGGAAAAAAATTAAACGACTTAAGATTGTTAAAATTGGACGTTGAAGGGGGCAGAGTATGATTGTGACAGAAAGGATACTAACGATTTCACTATTATAGGACAGAAGGCTTAGGTTTTTATTATTTAATTTGTTTCATTGCGGTACTGTAAAAATTAGTTTAATCAAATTCGACACTGTAGAACCAATTAATATTAAAGATTAAAAAAATTAAGATGTTATAGTAATTAAAATAAAATTAAAATACTCTTAATAAATTAATATATTAAAAAGATTTATTATAAATATGTAACTAATATTATGTAACATATTAATATTTAAAGTGATAAAACATTTTAAATGTTATTTTTTTAATATTAAAAAATACATTGGATCGTATGAAAGATATATATATATAACTAACGTGGAGGGATTAATATATAGTCGTGGCCTCGTGGGGAGTGTGGAATTAATCATGTCTATGCATGGAGAAGGTGTGGAGGGAGGTGTGCCACACATACTTAATTGAGAGAAGACACACTCCTCTACGTATATACACATTCATTTTCCTATCCATATTCAAAGTGCCATGAACATAAGCTGATGTCTTTACAGTTCCTAACATACAATGTGGAATGAGGAGACTCATGCCTTGCACATTTTTGGCCGCAGATACTGACTGTTCGACAAGTTCTATTGCCCTCTGTGCATTTGTTAAACTAAGGGCGTGCAGCTTGGCAGATGGGTTAGCCTTTTGTTCCAAATTTCAACCCTACAAAACTTTGAAATAATTTGGGGATTTTTGTAACTTTTGTGATTGATTACAGGCCAAAGCCCCTATTTGCACCCTCTATTTATTTCTTTTTCACGGTCAATACCTTTTAGAATTTTTTCTCCCTATTCACACCCTTAACTTTTCAAAACCCGTAAAAAACTCAACATTTTAACGCGCCGTCATGGTACCGTTACAAAATGTATTACGTGGCACTCAAAAATCGACGTGGCCACTATGTGCCGTTAGTAATCCAACGTGGATGCTTTTTTTTTTTATGATGTGGCTTATTTAAATAAAAAAATAAAAATAAATAAAAAAATTTAGAACAGGAGCTCTGGGTTCCTCACGACGAGGAACCCAGAGTCAGGAACCCCGACTGCCCGATCTGGGTTCGGCGAGGAACCCAGAGGGTTCGAGCTGGGTTCCTCAGGAGGAACCCATGAGGAACCCGATCTGGGTTCCTTGCCGAACCCAGAGTTGGGTTCCTTGTGAGGAACTCGATCTAGGTTCCTCATGACGAGGAACCCAAAGTCGGGTTCCTCATGGGTTCCTCTGGAGGAACCCGATCTGGGTTCCTCCGAAGGAACCCAGCTCAAACCCTATCTGGGGACGAGGAACCCAGATCGGGTTCCTCACGGGGAACCTAGCTCTGGGTTCCAGAAAAAATATATATTTTTTTTGGTGGGGATGTGGGGGACAAGCGAAAATCGTGCAGTGGGTCTCACTACACATGTGGTGTCCACGTGTACAAAAAAGAAACCACGTCATAAAAAAACATATCCACGTTTGAAACTAACGAATAAAGAAACGCCGCATGTGCCACGTCAATTTCTGGGTGCCACGTAATGTATTTTTTAACGGTGCCGTGAAGGTCCATTAAAATATTGAGTTTTTCACGAGTTTTGAAAAATGAAAAGTGTGAATAGGGAAAAAAATTCTGAAAAGTATTGACCGTAAAAAAAAATAAATGGAGGGTGTAAATAGGAATTTTGACCTTAATTATAACTTCACTTGTATTATTAAAAAATTATTACAGTACGTTCGAGGTAAAGTATCTCGGATCTATCCTTACATGTTCTCAATCTGTTCTAAGCTGATTCATCGCTTCAATAAATGCATCCAAGTCTTTTTCCGAGCTTCCTCCCTTCATCACCGCGTTCGCCGCCGCCTCACTGAACTTTTTGACTTGACTCCTCTCCGGTCTGCCCTCCTGCACTGACTCGGTCAAAATTCGAGCCAACTGGGTCGAATCAGGAATAATCTGAATCGACTCTCCTACACGAATCCCGACCCCCAGTTGATCAACTAACAATTGTGCATTAGAAAACTGGTCAGCGCTCATCGGCCACGTCAGCATCACCACGCCAGCCGAAATCCCTTCCAGCGTGGAATTCCATCCACAGTGAGTCAAAAACGCTCCCACCGCCCGATGCCTCAAGATCGCCACCTGTGGGGCCCATCCCTTGATCAAGAACCCTCTCCCGGTCACACGATCTTCGAACCCATCTGGGATCACGCCGTCATCGCTCGACGTGGGTCCACTGCCGGGGTACCTCACGCACCATACGAAATGGACCCCGCTCTTCTCCAACGCAGCTGCCAGCGCATCCATTTGCTCACGTGTCAGAACATAACGACTCCCGAAGCACACGTAGACAACAGAATGGTCTTCGCAGCCGTCGAGCCACGTCATTAACTCGGAACATTGGACTGTACTGGACCCACCACGGTTTGCCAGGTCAGCCGCATCATCCTCAGGTGGCAGAAGGGGTCCCACAGCCCAAACCCGATCTTGACCGATTTGCTTCTTCGCGTGATCGATGTAAACTCGTTCTAACTCAGAGAACGTGTTGAAGACTCTTCCCCAACTTGTCATATTACTCAGTGAGTCGCTTCTGAAAAATTCCCTATCTGGGTCTCCTTCTTTGGTATTTCTGTAAATATGAGATATCTGATACCAAGCGAATTTAGGAGAATTCGGCAGCGTCTGGAACGTGACGATGTAATTTTCGTTGTCGGTATCATCATCTGTTTTCTTCTTCGGTAACGCGTTCCATATTGCCTCTTCTACGGAGTAACCAAAGGCGCCAGAGGGCGAGAAGACGACGCGTTTTATACCCAGCTCCGAAGCGAGGTCTTGGGTCCATCCAAGGAAAAAATCAGAGACTATTGCGACGGGTGGGGAAGGGTGTGATCGGAACCACTGGAGAATTGCTGAGTAATGGAAATCAGGCAAGCCACTCATCATAGCAAATAATCTATGGTGGGGGGCGGCCGAGTTTGAGGGGGCAGGGCCAGGGAGAACCAGGGATTGGATGGAAGAGGAATGGTGACGGGAAAAGAGTGGGTCGAGAAGGGAGAGGTTGTTGGGGGTGACGAGGAAGGTGACAGTGAGGCCGCGAGTGATGAAGCGGTGGGTGAGGTCGAGGAGGGGGATGATGTGGCCAGGGGCCGGGTACGGGTAGACCAAGATATGTGCACCGGTACCCGACATGGCTTCAGTCGGAAGGTTTAAAGAGAAATTTGGGTTTATCCATTTGTGCGTGGCCTGTGGAGATTTAAAAGGTCTAGCCGGTTGATAGCGTCTCGTGTGACGCCACGTAGTAAGA